CCCGCAAAGCGCTCAAGAAATCAACTTTTTGCATTTTCCACACCTCAAGTGTCTGCAACAATAAAACGGAGGGAAAATAAAAGAGGGATGCTGACGAAGAAGGCGAGGAGATACGGCATTCATTACAGCAATTGAAATGGACAAAAGCCAAAATTCAAGGCAGGAAAAAAGTCGACAGCACAAGTTGGAAAAGGGATAATAAAATGTTTGCATATAAAATATTAAATAAAAGACGCAATGAAGAAGCTGAGGAGTGAAGTAAGCCTTCTCTACATAGAACGCAACGAAATGAGCGAGCACACTGAAATAAATAGGGAGTGTTATGAACAGATCATACATCTTAACGAAATGAGCGAGCATACTGAAATAAATAGGAGTGTTTTGAAGATATCATACATTTTAACTACATTTAAAGCTAAGAAAATAAATGTTGTTCGTATATATGAGAAAAATTACCCTTTCCTTAATATCAAATTTACAATATTATTATACAATGGTACAAAAATACGGGTTTGTTGACATGTAAGCATCAGTAATACTTGTAATTTTTTTTCTGTTTGGTTGGTGTATAGTTTCTATTCTCCTAGTTTAAAGACACTACTCAGGTTATTGTTTTATTTTATTAAATCATTGAGGGTCTTGAAAAAATGTATTTGTGCTTTGGATTAAATTTTTTAACTTCTTTTTTAAAATTACTTATTGAATGCTAGTATAGTTTAGTAAAATCATTTTAAAATAAAAATGCGTTGTCTAAGGGAATTTCCTAAGAGTTAAATATTTTTCGCCGTGCACCTACGTCAGCGGCAACAACAAAATGACGGAGCCAGGTGGACCGAGAGATCCAGGTGAGTTTTTGGGTTCCCGGGCAAAAGGCTCAATTCAAAGGTAAATAGAACCCATCTATGTATGCAATATATGTCCGTGGATGTGTTCACAACTTAATGATGAGCATAAAAAACAACGTTAGGGGGCGTATCAAATGGGAAGAAGCAGCGCAGTCGGCGCACAAAATGGCAGCGCATGCGTCGCACTGCTCTTACACCCATATTTTCGTATAGCCAATCGGTGGGTGTGTCCTCGCTCACTTACACATACACTACCCTAATTAGCCTCGACATTTTGTTACTGTTGCTCTCGCGCTGTCTCACTCTCCCTCTCACTCGCTTTCTCTCGCTGGAAATTCAACAGGCACCCACACACAAACTATTGGCAGCTCACTCACTCCTATGGAATGACCATTCAAATGCATCGGCACTCCAGAAATTTGAACTTCACAATTTGCCTAAAAACCGGCTTTTACTTTCGTTAAAAAAAATATATTAAAAAAATAGAGAAATTACAAAATTAGCGAAGCAAATCTTAAGTTTGTGACAGTTGAGAGTTTTTTCGGAAATTAATCAGCACAGCGGGATCCACATGCACTCGAGAAATCAGGATATTGGAAAAGCGCACAATTTCCAAGTTGATTAATTTCGCACCACTGCATTGCAATCATGTGCGTTCGTGTGTGTGAGAGTGAGTGGCACACGCTTCTTCTTACCTGTCCAAAATTTATATTTTTTTGTTATCTAACAAAGGCATATCTCCACACAAAGATACCACAAAAAAGTTGCCAAATAAACGAAGTAACGAAATTTTCGCTATTTATTTGTGTCCTTTCGTCTGTTATGAATTAAGTGTCCTTCCTGCATGTGTGTGAGTGCGCTTTGTTGTTGCCCATCGCTTTGTCAGTTCTCAAAAATGTTACCACTAAAAATCACAAATTGCAGGATCAAAGGTGAAAAGTGGAGGGGGATTACCAAAAATAATAATGAAAAATATCTTAAATCAATGAATAAGGCTTTAGTTACTGAAAACAATGCAAAGAACGATTGATCTGAATTTAAGTCTTAAAGAATATCACAATAATCGGTAAATTTGTAAGCCCAGTGAATAGGTGACAGAGGCATTTATTAAAGCAACTTAATTTTTTGTACATATACAATTATTTTTTGTGTGAAACGAGTTTAGATACTTTTTTTTATATTATACAATATGCTTAATTACGGAATGAAATAATTAATATAATATTTTTAGTATCTACTTCTAAGTTTGTCAAACTTTGTACTTTATTTCAATAATAATTTTAACAGCAAACTACCATAGTACCAAAGTAATATGAGCAGTGTATTGCTCTATATTAATTTTTGATCCATTTTTAAATCTTTTAAATAAAATGTACCTTCTTTTAAATCCACAGTCTAAAAAAAAAATTAATTTTAAAATATCTAAATAAATATATAAGTAAGACCTTTTACAAACTGGCGACTTAGATTTCAATTTATGGGATTTTTTTAGTTTAAGAGATTATGGATTTTACACTAGATAATGTAATCACCCTCTCATTCGAATCATAAAATAACTTTAGGTTCTCAAAGACTTACAGAATCTCTTAACATTTTTAGATCTGCAGAAACTCTAGAATACTTAAAACCTCCAGGATCTTAACAACTTGCCAATCTAGCAAATTCTTTTATTTGAACTATAACCTAATAAACTGATATAAATTTTGCACTCATTTTCTATAACTATTAATAGCGATATTAATTCAAATAACATGGTTGATAAAAACAAGAGAGCATTCACGCGGAAACGTGTTCAATTCTATATGCGGTCACCCTAACCGATAGTCACGAGCGCTTGCCATTCGCCCCGAACTGCCAATTTTGCCCATCTCTAAAAAGACACGTAAAGCAACAAAAATACCGAAATCACTCCCGGAGTATAACTATCAAATTTATGAATTAAACACGAATAAATAGAAAACCAAACACAATGGACGCTGGCGTTTGGTACCGATCGCTGCCCAGATTCACCAGATATTGGTTGACGGCCACGGTGGTATTGAGTATGCTGTGCCGCTTTGACATTATACCCATATATTGGCTGCATCTGGACAGAAATCTAATTTTTGGGAAGCTGCAGCTCTGGCGCTGTGTGACGTCACTGTTCGTCTTTCCGATTTCATCAAACACCGCGTTTCACTTCCTCATAAATTGCTTTTTCATTGTGCAATACAGGTAAGTCGCTTACCGCTATTTAAATTGAGTAAAGACAACATATATCTATCTTTTATTACAGCTCCAAACTGGAGAAGGATCAGTATAGCCGAAGTCCAGCGGATTATCTATATCTGTTGATCGTTTCCGCAGTTCTGGCCAATATTGGTGGCATGCTCTTCAATGTATACTTCCTCATGGACATGCTCGTCCTGGCCATCACCTACATTTGGTGCCAGCTGAACAAGGATGTGACTGTGAGCTTCTGGTTCGGCACCAGATTCAAGGCCATGTACCTTCCCTGGGTCCTGGCCGCCTTTGAGTTTATTTTCCATCAGTAAGTGGTCTATAATGGTACTGTATGTGTTTATATCTAATGATTGTGTGATCTTGCAGCTCCCTGGCCTCCTTAGTGGGCATTTTCAACGGGCATGTCTACTACTTTTTCAAGTTCCAGTACTCCCAGGATCTGGGCGGCACTGCCCTGCTGGAAACCCCCCAATTTCTGTGAGTATGAGACCAGAACTTCCTTAAATCAAATAGAAATGATGGCCTTTTAAAGAATTACCACCAGTTGCAACTCAAAAGTAGGTTATTTTCGAATTATTTTTAAATACAATTTTTTAAATCTTAAAGTTCATATATTAAATACATTTTTGTAATTTCTTTGCTAAAAAATATTGAGTAAATAAGTTTATATGATAAAAAAATTATAGTGAATTGGATTATTCGAAATAAAAATAGATTTACTTAAATAACATTATAAGCTTGGCTAGCTTATAATCTAGTGACTTACAGATTAAAAAAAAAAGGTAGTTTTTTGGTTTTAATAGATACATTCAAATTTATTTTGGCGAACAATTCCAAAATGTAATTTCTATAAAAAGTTTCAAGTAAGCACACTAGACAGTTGTATCCTTTTTTCAATGACTATATCTGAGTTAATGTTCTTGGGATCGACTCGACATTTAAATAAATAAATATTCAAAAAATTCTATTAAAATTGTTATCAAATTTCAAAGTTACAATTGAGGATAAAGCGCCTAAAACTCCAAAGAATTCAATACATTTTCTATGAATAAACACTTAATTCCCGTTTTCCACTTTCAGGAAACGTCTTGTGCCGGATATTTCCGGCGGATTCGGTGGCTTTGGAGTGCCGCCGGAGAGCAGAGCGCCACCGCGACAGGCGCCCGAAAGTCCTTGGGGCCGGGGAATGACCTTGGGTCGGAACTGAACACCCCACCCACACTGATCATCGAAACTAGAACTAGACTAATTCCCTTTTTCTATGGTTTGGATTTCCCCTATTTTTCTTAACCAAACTCTTATACAAACAGCAAATGGCCTGTAGCCTGTATTTTTCAAAATATTTTTCCAACACCATTCGATTCTCTGGCAACAGCAATAAGTTAACATGTTAAGTGGCAGGATTGCATTGTGCATTAATGAAATTATATTGATATATGTTTGTACATATATAAACCATTAAAAAAAGACAAAAGTACCTTGGTGTGTTGTTGAATTGAAATTGATCTTGTTTATTTATGGCAAGCCCTTGCTGGGGATATCCAAAAGATGTTAAGAAGAGAATATGCATAAAAAACATTTTGTTTTATTACATTTAAATTTATTTCGTTTAAAATTTCTATGCTAAAAATTTTACAGCGACACGCATCGTTCAACAATATTTTTGTATTATATTATTTACTTTTCTGCTCGTTTTGTTTTTTTTTTTTTGGAGGGGAGGATGATTCTCTGATTTCTAATGGTGTTTCGGTTTGCTTTCATTTTGGGCTTTTGTCTAAAAGTTACAACATTTCTTTTAATATTTGGATTTACAAAATCGACGCATAAAATACTTAACATCTATAAATTGTTTATGGTTAATCATCTGTTTTTTTTTTGTTTTTTTTGTTTCGTGTGTGTTTGGGTTTTGTGTGTGGCATGAGTTTTCTTTCCTTTAAACATGTGTGTGTCTATACATATGTATATTTAATTATGCGATACAGGGTTTGCATTTCGAAATTCATCTGATATTTACATGTTCGGGTTTCGGGTCAACTAGGGTCTATAATCTCATACAATTAAGAAATCTTTCAAGTTGAACATTTAAACAATTTTCTTCTCACTTTACGCTTGCGTGTTTCTCGAATTTTTTTTGTGTTTTTTCCTTTTCTGGGGATATGATCTTAGGCAACTAAACTAGAACGAAATTATGCTAGGCAAAAGATGAGGTGGGCGGCGAAGTGTGGACTCTATTTACAAGCTATACAAAATTAAGGTAAGTCTGCAGTGGCATCTGCCTTATTTACAGGAGAGAAGGGGTTCGATTCCAGGCTCCAAAGATTGCAGGCGGACGAAATGAAATGAAATTGAATGAAATGAAATGAACTGATAAAACTAAAGCTAACACAAATTCCAGGGTATACTTTTCACTATACGATTAAATGTTTAAAACAGTGGTGGTTGTGTGAGTGTGTGTGTGTGTGATTTGGCAACTTAAATTATTGCTCATCCTTAACTTAGGCTCCACAAATAAGCATACGATAATCTTGCACTTTGCTCCAAGGTTTCGGCTTGCGAATCTTTAAAACTAATAAAAGGAAAACTTTCGACATTGACGCTAAACTACTAACTAAAACTAATTCAAACCGGGTCTGCTGTGTGTGTGTGTGCGTTCTCTCACTCGAATCTCTCGAAATGGGGATCGATTTTAAGGTAACTTATTTGATGATTGGTTAACCGATCTAAAGGGCAGCTGCTCCTGCTCCCACTGGCTGTTCCAATGGCTTCTTCTGCTGCTGCTGCTGCTGTTGCTTGTGCTGCTGCTGGTGAGGAGATGCCGAGACAATGGCTGCTTTCAGGGTGGTGGTGGCTGCCGTCTCTGCCGATATGTTGCTGGTGCTCTCGATCTCGATGGGCTGCTCCAAGTCCATGTCCACGTACTCAATGGCACTGTCATCCTCCGGATGCAGTTCAATGACTGCAAAATGAAGATAAATTAGTATTTGTAACTTAAATGAGTTTAAAATGCTGAAATTGGATTTAAAACATGCTAAAGTTCACCAACTTGACCCTACTTTATACAGCTCTCAACTGAATCTCATTAAGTGAACTAAAACGAAACCAAATTCCAACTTTTACCAAACAAACAAAAAAAAAACCCCAACTCACTGCTGTTGTTCAGGTCCATGGTAGATTCTTGTTCATTCCTCTGCCTCTCCTCCCTCTCCTCCATCTCCTCCATCTGCTCCTCGATATCTTCATCCTCCTCGATGATGACATCGTCTAGGCTTTGCTTTGAGGCCGTGTTGGACGTCTTGGTGGCCGCCTGGTCCAGCTCCATCTCCCAATCCGTGGCATTGAAGACCACCAGTGGAGAGTTCTTTACCGTCGAGGGATTGAGCTCTGTGGCCGTGCCATTATCCGCCACTATAATGGGCATATTGATGATATCGATGGGTGTGTCCTCTGTTATCAACTGATTGGGTTTGGGTTTCAACTGCCCTGCCGAAGGATTTGGAGATGTGCCACTGGTCGCCGGCGCCGGAGAAGTGGTTGCTCCGATGACCAGCACATTCGACTTGGGCTTGCTGGCCAAGGTGAGCGCTCTCATGCCGCTGGCCGCACTCGCTGGCAGGAAGACCAGATTGTTCTTACCACCGCCCGCAGTGGCGAAGGTCAGTGTGGTGGCTTTACTGCCACCCAAACTTGGCTTGCTGGTTGTGCTGCTGCTGCTGCTGGTGGTGGTGGTGTTGGTGTTGGTGCTATTGCCTCCGCTGTTCCCACTTCCAGTGGCCGCTGGCTGCAGTATTTGCATCTTTTGTATGCTTATTCTTTGCTCGCGAGCTGGCAGATTCGTTGGCGAAACAGCTGTGGTGGTGGTGCTGGTGCTGGTGGTGCTGGTGGTCACCAGGCTTCCCGACGAGCTGCTGCTGCTGCTGCTTGTGTTGTTGAGCTTGTGTATGATGCTGCCAGCTGGCAGTTTTCCTGGCTGCAGGAACACCTTCCCGTTGGGTGAGCAAATCTTAATGTTTCGCAGCGCACTGCTGGGCACCTGCTTGATGGCTCCGCCCGAGCTGCTCGTGAGCTTGATATTGCCCAGGATTTGTGGGGCAGCTGCTGAAGTTGTGGCACCAGCAATTACCGCCGAACCAGTGGCAGCCTTTATCTGCGGTGCGGTCACCTTCGCCCTGAACAAATTGGCCGACATTTGGCCGCCTGCCGAGGGCAGCGGTGTGATCAGCGTGTTGTTCAAACTACTGGCTGGTATATTCTTGATAATATTCACTGTGGAGGCGCTGCTCAAGGGCGTCACTCTGGAGTCCTTCAGCGAGGACAAGGGCTCCGTGTAGGGCAGCAATCTAACCGCTGAACTGGGCAATGTCTTGGGCTTGGCCTCGCCCTCCAGAATATTAAACTTCTTGGGCGTAATCTTGGAGCCCGGTGGCAGGAGTGTGGCACTGTTGCCACTGACCACTGGCGACTGGGCCACTGCTGTTGGCTTCAATTTGGCGCCCATCGGCGGAGCTGGGATCTGTTGAACACTGATGATTTGCGGCGCCAGGGGAAGATTGGCCGTGGAAATGGGCGTGGGTGTGGCAGCTGACGCCGGTGACGTATCCTCCAGCACATATTTCTTGATGGGCGAGGTGCTCTGACTTGGGCCTGCACTGACCTGCACTGGCGAAGCCTGCAGCTTGTCCTTGAAAACAATCGGTGAGTTGGCAAATCCTCGAGAGCCCGGCGTTGTGGGTGAACCAATTTCAGCACTTTGCGGACCAAAGACCGCCGGTTTGATGGGCTTCAGTGGCTTCAGCGTGACCAGTGGCCTCAGATCGTTGAGGAAGGTGTACGGGGGCGTGGCTGTGGCTGTGACTGTGGAGGCGGTGGGCGTTGGCGTTGGTGGCGTGGTGGCCGCCAACGTTTTGAGTGCCTCGTCGAGCACATACTCCACATGCGGCTGCACCACCAAATGATTGGGCACCGTCGTCTCCGTCGCCGATTGCATTAATACTTTCTGTTGTTGCTGGTGATGTTGCTGCTGCTGCTGCTGCAACTTTTGTTGCTGCTGATGCTGCAGTTGCTTCTGCTTTCGTCTGCCACTCTTGGCCGGCGCAGCTATCCTCTTGCTGGGCGAGGGTTCGCCACCCAAAGCGGATGCGTTTCTGCCGCCCAAGGGATTTCCCGTTTGCGAGGAGGGCGAACCCAAACTGTTGGCCAAGTTCCTTTTGCTGGCCAGCCGCTGCTTGTGCTTCATCTGCTGCTGATAGAAGTAGCGCTGCTGAAGGGTGCGCGGACTCAGTCGCTTCTCCAGCGGCCCTGGATCACCCTCCTCGGCGGCGGGATTCGAGGATGGACTCAGCTGCTGAGACTGCTGCTGCTGCTGCTGTTGCTGGGGAATCTGCAAATGTGACTGCTGCGCGTGGGGCTGTTGCATGTGCCGCTTCTTGTTGGGCTTGCCCTCCACTCCGCTCTCGTTCTCCTTGCGCTTTTGGGTCATCTTCTTCACCTCGTTGGGCACATCGGGTACTTTAAACTGGAGGGCAGGTAAAGCGTTATTAGAAAAAGTTAGTAAATATTTAGGAATTTTTTAAAAAACAAAAACAAGAAATAAAATAAAAAGCTTACAATATCTAAGGATATTCATATATTAACAAAATTAAGCTGTTTGCTTAAGCACAAATTAAAAGTTGTTTGTTTAAGCACAAAAACATAGAAAAAGAAGGAGTAGGACATGGACTGCATAATAAAATATCAAAAGAATATAATACATAATAGCTAGTGCATTCCTTTAATAACTTATAATATTGTATTTCGTTATTTAATATTTATTACATTTTAAAATGCCTCTCCTTAGTTTCAAAAACTAAAATAAAAATTCTTATATTTTTTCCCTGTTATATAAATACCATTCACATTTCATTTGAATAAATTATTGGAATAAATAGTAAGAAAAAACCTCAAAATAATAAATAAATAATAACTCTTTTTATCAATAAACCAACTCTGGTTTACCAAATAAAATAAATTTATTCATTTGGTTTAAATTACTTTAAAATGCAATAATTTTTAAAATTCCCCACTTAAAATCTTAAAACTAAATCGTCAAATTCGTATATGTCTTTCAATGTTATATAATCCCATTCAAAATCCAATTTGAACGGTTGGTAATGTTAAACCGCTATCGATAACAGTCGGTGGCCAACAGAACCTTAACAGACATATTAACAGATACAGTTTTCTGTTAATGGCAGTTAAAGTTAAATTGGCTGATTAGCAAAGATATATATCAACAAATCTAAGAAAGAACATTAATAAACCTGTAATGTGGCAAAAGTAAATGTAAAGTAATAAATTAATACATATTTTTACTTTTCCCGCCTAAAGGTCTTTCTTATTGGCATATAAAACACCAATTGGAGCAGGTTTAAGTAGGAGATTTCTTATCCTTTGACAAAGTTTGTGTTTTTTTAGCATTGTTTAAGGGCATAATCAATGATTTAGGTTTGAATTTGTAAGGCAATGCGGCCTATTCTACTTTTTAGCGGGTTTATAAGCAGCCACCCACTAGATTTTCATGGCAGGTACAGTCTGCACTTTTGCTTTGGCCCCTTAAACGAGAGCAAATTGAAACGCTGGGATTATGTAACTCACCGGCTCCTCCAAGATCACCATAGGCTGATCCTGGTTCCTGCCACCACGAGGATACTTCAGGCTCATCAGAGAGGCCTGCTCCAAGAGGGCTTCTCCAAAGTGGACCCCCGTTTCGGCAGGAGCCGCCAATTTGGCGTTTTCCTCGCATGCCTTTGCCGCCAGATCACTGGCCACGATACTGAGTGCTGTTTGCGGACTGATCCTGGGTAGCAGGGGATACGAACGACGTCCTTCACGCGACCACTCCTGCCAGGTGTTGGGACCGCAAACGCTGCAAGAGATTATAGGTTATTACAGGGCTTACGCTGGCAGGTCGCACTCAAGGAGCACTCACTTCTCGGCAATGGTGCAGAGCTGCTCATCGTTGACCGCCCTTCGCACTTCCGCCCGATGGCGCTCGTGGTTGATGTGGAACTGCTGGCGCAGCTCCTCCAGCAATTTCGCCTTGGTTTCACTTAGGGCTCCTTGGGCGCGAAAAACGCTCACCACATGCGAATAGGACTCGAGTTCTGGGTGTTGGACATGCAATAAGGAAGGTGTGTGTTAGTTGGGGGTGCTCCCATTGGAGGGGTAATCCTTGATAGCTGCCCGGAACGACTGGGACAGGCTTTCGTGGACCACTTTGTGGTGCGCTCTCACCAAGTCGACGCAGCATGCCTCGGCACTCGTCCCGCGACATTTCCAGCGTTTGCGGCCACATCACGACTTTCCCGTTCAACGATGTCCTCGGCCGTCGGCGATCCCTTCGTTTTTCAGGTTGCTTGAGCTTTGGCCAACGCTGGATTAAATCAAATCAATCCTGCTCAAATTAAAACAAACTCCGAGGGCAGCGTTTCTAATATCTCATAGCCACTCACACCGCAACGCGGACAGCGATGCGCGAAAGAAGAAGCAGCGCCAGCAGCCAAAAAGTGCGCGCTGAGCAGCACTGCCTGGGTTGGCCATTCACAGGGAATGCGGTTCGAGAGAGATGCGTTCAAGGTAGTGACTTGAAAGTGACTAGAAATCGTAAATAAAGTCACTTTTTTGAACACCAAAATATAAATATTTACAATAATTGGTAAGCATTGTTCAAATCTTTTTGTTTTGTACATTTTTCTTAAAGTTCCTATGCTGTGACCTAGATTTGTTATCTCTGGGAATCAGTCACAGCTTAATGCAACAATTGATAGTCAGACAAACAAATTTTTAGAAGTTAATATTAAATGAAATGAAATTAAATCTAAATATATATATAACCTAATATTAAGTAAGTTAAGAGCGCGAGCATTTATAGTTTCAGGGTCATTAATTGTCACTTTATTTTTGGTTGTAAATGGTACCGTTAACCAAATTTAAAAATTAAAATAGATACAATAAATGGTAAGAAATATTTATACATATTTGCTTTGTAAATTTGTCTAAGACGTCCTACATTTTGGGCGTGAGGTTCGTTATCACTGGGAATCAGTCACAGTTTGATGCAACAATTGTCAGTCACAGGTAAACAGATCTCTAAAAGTTAATATTTACATATGTATATGTGTGCATATCTAATTTTGCATTACAAAAGTACAATTTTGCCACAAACTCAATTGTTCTCACAGTTCCCTTCCCTCCAACTCACGTATTGCGTCCTCCGACTGAAAGTAAACAATAACAACAATCAGTTGATAACAAAAGTAAACATATGTTTTAACGACCTTTTTAAACCAGAACGAAGACATAAAACTGATCGTATTTCCAATGTTCATGTCGGAAGGGGGATAAATGCCATGTAAATGAAGGTGGCGCACCGAAATAAATGGTGGCAAGTGGAATCCAATGATCGCCTGCTTAGGGTCTATATTTTTTGATCTCAAAAACTCCATCATGCCCGCCTCCATGCGTTGCACTATAGATAAAAACAATAATTAAATATTATGAATACTAATCACCTGAAACGTGGCTTAACTTACCCAATCCCAAGTGGGATCCATTGAGAACCTGAAAGCTGTCGAAATGCTCCTTGGGAATCGCCAGATAATGGTGCTGTGCTGCAGGATATTTGTCCTTGAAGATCACATACTCATCCGTTTCCACCTCCAAAACTGGTGGAGGTCCTTTTCGATGGTTGGCAAAATCACAGAAGAAACAATCTCGAACTTGGGATACTGGAGGCCGATTGCGTCCACATTTATAGATCGACACTAAAATTATTAGACCCAGGCCTGCCAGGCCGGCTATATACAATCTCTTTCGTTTCATAATGCTTTCTTTAATCATATTTAGCTTTTATGTCTAAGACAATGTGATTTTAAGATCGCTTTTAATTTTTGGACTTAAGTAAATTGTTATGATAAATTGAGTACATTTTGTAGCGGGGTATTAACCCTTTAACAATCGAACGGTCTTACTTTGCCATTCAAACACTGTTTATTGTAAGGCGGGAATTTTAAATATTTGAGGCAAGGAAGAGAAGCTGATTGCGTTGTTAAGACCGCAGTTTCCAAAAAGGGCAAGGATCCCCGTATATGTGGGAGTTATTTCTTGCCAGAGATCCAGCAGTAATGCATTGTGGTACTGCAAGCAGAATTTGCAGTGTGCGCTCTAGGTTTCAGTCATTTTTTATACAAAATAGATTTTATATTCAAAAGACATTAAAAATTGCGCCAACCTTGCTTATGGAAAACAACTGTTGTAGTGGTGGCACGAACAAAATATCGTTAAACATCGGTATTTTCCGCTATTTTACCAAAAAACGTTCGGGCGAATGGTTTTTAATCGCATTTAAAAATCGCATTTATTTTAAATGCGGCATTTAGCCTTATGGGATTCCCTGTGTAAATAAATGCGCATTTGGCTAAATTATCTTTCAAAACCCTTTAAAAGTTATCAAAAGCTATTTATCGATATCCAAACAGTCGAACCATCGCTATAGGAACTGCCATTCACTGGGAAGCGCAAAAATGGTCTTGAATTGAAATGTTTTTCTATTTTCCGAATTTTTCCGGCGAAAAAACACAGCTGGAAAATGTTGTTCCGCTCAGCGAAAAGCAAGTTTGATGCCGGAGATGTGATGCGTCGAATGAAGCGCCTGGCGGAGGGCACCATGTCCTCCTACCGCCGATTGTTCCTGCTCCTACTCGGCCTTTGTATGGTCTTCTATATGATTCCGCCGATTTTTCGCTATATTTTCCTTAGTGCTCCCGAACAGAAGGGTGAGTATGTATGTCTCTTGACTCTTGACGATCTAAACTGATCATTTTGTTTTGCAGATCCCCATAGCATGTGCATGGACGATCGGCTGACGCCCTTCATCCTCCAGAACTATGAGTTTGATGCCAATATTCGTCACGTGTCACCTGCAAAAATGCCCGGCGAACGTGATTTCACGCCCTACGTTGGCAATGGCTATCTGGGATTGGAGATAGCCCACGACGCCTTTGTGAACATCAAAAATGGCAGGGCCATGCAGCTGCCCATTCGCTTGCAGCCGGTGGTCTCCGTTTCCGGCGGATCTGGTGGCGACAAGGAGGCCACTGTGGTGGAGTATTTGACGGGAATGGTCCATAGATTCCAGTGCTTCGCTGGCTACTTTGTTTCTTACACCTACTACGCACATCGCACCCAGCCGAATATCTTCATGCAGGAGCTGCAGATCACAAATACCAGGAACCTGATAGAGGACATCGAGTTGATTATGCCACGCGTCAATCTTCCAAAACTCACCAAAAGAACTGTGGCCCTCAGGTGTGGTTTACCCATATTTCCTTTGATTATAGCTAAATAGAATTCCCGTTCCCATTTCAGTGAACCCTTCTCTGTAGGAATGTTTACCTACAACGAACTGGAGGTGCTGACGGGCGTAATGCAGCCTCAGCCAGAAAATCCGAGTAAATCCATTGTAATTACCATAGTAAAGCCACAAATGGATTCCAAATTGCAGCTAAGGAAGCGTGGCACAGTTCGCATTGTGTATCCCATAGCAGTGCAGTACTCTAAGCCAGTGCCAGAGGCTCAGGTCAAGGGCATAAGCGAAACCATTGAGCAGCAGGCCACACAGACAATGATCAAGCTGCTGCAGAAACTCGGCTCCAAGGCTTCGAATCCGGGCTCCCAGAATAGCATAAACAACTATCGACAAGAGCATATCGATGTGTGGACGGATTTGTGGGCCACTGGCTTTACGATAAGCACTTCCAAGGCGGAGAACAGCTTGAATGGCGATCGCATCAATGCCACAATGTATGCCGTTCTGTCGCAAGTGCGCAGTTTCGAGTTCGAGGAGATGGGTGCCTCGAAAAAAGAGGATATAGCAAAGGCTCTCACCTACGCCGAAGGTTGCTACGATTCGTATCACACGCTGCAGGCGGAGAATCTTTGGCGGGAGATGTCCAATCTGCAGCAGCTCAACTCTCTGGTTTCATCGTGGATGCTAACGTTGGAAAAACAGGGCTGCCACAATCTCATTCGAGCTGGAGCATCGGGTGTTATCCAGGGCATGGTTCTGAGCTTTGGCAGCTTTCGTTTTAGCAATCAGCACCTGGAGTGCAACATTCATCCGAAGTTCCTGCACCGGGATTTCCATTTCAGGCGCCTCAATTACGGCAACAAAACCCATGTCAATGTCACCATTATTGTGAAGGATGACAACAAGGCGGTGATCAATGTGGCACTGGATCGTTCAGACAGGAGCTATTATGCCTGCGATGGTGGCTGTTTGGATGAACCTGTGCTGCTCACGTAATTAAAACCTATTTGTCTTCCTAAAGTATTTTATTTTAATTGTGGTAAAATTTTGCAGGCCAAATCGACGACAATTCCCAGTTAAATTGACTGAACCTTTGACAGCAATATTATACATAACAGAGGACAAGCAACACATGGAAGAGCTGCACCATGCCATCCATGTCAAGGAAGTGGTTGAAGGTAATATGTTGGACGAGGAAAATCAAACCAAATCCCTTTTTTAACTATTTTAATTGTAATTTGCAGCTCCCGCCCATGAGCAGCATCTGATTGCCCTGCATCGGCATGGACATCAACTGGGTGGATTGCCAACGCTTTTCTGGGTTTCCGTATGTGCAATTATCATAGTATTCCACATATTCCTGTGCAAGCTCATTATCAAGGAGTACTGCGAGCCGAGCGATAAGTTAAGATATCGTTATAACAAACCGTGATTCTAGTTGTATATGTAAATTGGATGCTAGTAAACTATGGAATATCTTAATGAAAAATTGACAAGTCAGCTTTTAAACCATTGTTAGTACCTTAAGTTGCTGTTGAAATAGTTGAGTGGTCCGATAGATGTGTATTTAGTTGACCACAAATAATAATTAAAAAGTATTTGTTTTACATGTTAAACTTTAAGTAAGAGTCTAGTTAAAGTTCATTGAAATCCGTTTGTATTTTCTAACATTTAAAATGCTTTACTTTAAAAAAGGGCAGATCAGATTAGCTTATATACAGAGATATAGATAGAGAGTGTGCAAAATGCATTGGTTTTAACTAGATTTCTCGATTTCGTTGGTGCTAGAAAATTCGCACAGGTGCCGATAATTAGGTACTTCTGAAACTCCATCTCTACTTCGATCTCCACTGGTAATTCCACCCTACTTGGTGACCTTGTGTATGCTCTCGGCCAGGTACTCGACATTCTTGCTGGTCACGCCCGCCATCGAAACACGACCATCGTTGGTCAGATAGACACTGTGCTCCTTGATCAACTTCTGGACCTGCTCGGGCTTCAGGCCGGTGAAGCAGAACATGCCGATTTGGTTGACGATGTGATCCCAGTTCTGGCTGGAGCCCAGCTTCAACAGGTTGTCCTTCAGCTGGGCGCGCACATTGATGATCCGATCGGCCATCAGCTTCACATCCTTAAGCCACTGGGCGCGCAAGTCCTCGTTGTTGAGGATCTCGGCGGCAATCCTGGCACCATGAACCGGGGGATTCGAGTAGAGACCACGGATCAGGATCTTGATCTGAGACATCACACGGGCAGCCTCCTCTTCGTCGGAACAAATCACGGAAAACGCGCCAGCACGCTCGCCATACAAGCCCATATTCTTGGCGAAACTCTGGGCCAAACTGAAGTCATGACCATCGGCCTCAAAAGTGCGAACAGCCTGGGCATCGCGATCAATGTCGCCGGTTGCGAATCCCTGATAGGCCATGTCGATGAAGGGATACAGATTGCGCTTCTTAACCAACGCCGAGATCTCTTTCCACTGCTCCAAAGTGGGATCCACTCCAGTGGGATTGTGGGCGCAGGCATGCAGGAGAATGATGCTCTTCTCGGGGATTTTCTGCAAGATTTTGGTAAGTATTATTTTTATATATAAAAAATAATAATAATTAATTTTCTCACCTTCAGATCCTCAATCAGTCCGCAGAAGTCTAGGGCGCAGGTGTCCTTGTTGTAGTAGCGATACCGATTCACCGGCAGACCGGCGTGCTCGAAAATGGCCACATGGTTGCCCCACGATGGCGATGGGATGTAGATTTCGCGGTTGCCCTTCCAGAATTTGGCCAAAAAGGCAGCTCCGATGCGCAGGGCACCAGTTCCACTGATGGACTGGGCGGTGACATTGTGCTTGGCGGCCAGGCGCTTGGAACCCTAAAATGGCAAGTTTATTAATACAAGACCTATTTCAAAGTTGTAAAGAAAGCCTTTACCTTGCCTAAAGCCAGCTCAATGGCCTTGTTGTAGAACTCGGGAATGCCGATGATGGTGGCGTATTCCTTGTCCAAGTTGCGGCTCAATACTCGCTTCTCGGCCTGGTTATTAAACAAATAATGTTATATAGCTTATTGGTTTATATTTTCGATTGTTCTGAACCCACCTCTCGCACACTGGGAAGCACAAAGGGCTGAGTGTTGTCATCGCGATAGGCGCCAGCGCCCAAGTTGATCTTCTTCGGGTTCTTGTCCTTCTTGAAGGCCTCTGTGACGCCCAAAATGGCATCGGGAGGTCCCATTTGCACCTCGGTGAACCATGTTGATCTGATGAAAATAAAAAAGTAGTTATAAATGGAAAGTCTAGAACATATTTAAATTACTTTCCTAAAATGTTTCTTTTACTATCTCAAAAGTTACTTCACATTTTAACTAATCTGCACTTCCGTTCCCTCAACCTTTGACCTTCGAAAAATCGTACACCCCGCTACGTTCTTATCTGGCTTAAATTTAATTGGTAGATTAAAAAACTGCTTAGTGGGTTATCTCAGCCACGTCTGCCACTTGTGGCTATCATTTATCATTTCGGTTTCGTGACTAAAGTTTGAAAGTCATCTGGAGGTTTTCTTGGATTTCGACCCCACTTTTAACACCTCGTACCCCCAACGACATTTTAGACCCCCCTGCTTATCAGCTGTAAACATGTTATTATGGGAACTCGGTCGACGATTTACAAAATACACAATATAGATCCATTAAAGCCTACGTCAGCGATAAGGTCGATGATTGTTTGCTGACGTAGCCGGCTTCCCGTTCTCCTTCTCTTTCTCATTATTCAGAATATTAAATAAATCGTGGAAAATATCAAAATTGATTAAACTTTTTTAATTAGTTGCCACCTGTCTTCGTATCTGATTTGTTTTATTCCCAAACCTTCTGCAGTTCGATAAAACAAGCCGCCCAGAATTCAAAAAGTTCCATAAAAAAAATCAAAGCACGCGACAAAAGCGTGATATGACCACGAATACCCTACGCTCTTTTCGTCTGGCATGTTCGCTGTGCCTGGTCGATGCTCCATGTATTATAAATATCCTTCAGGGTCTTCCAAATGATTCTGCTCATGACAATAGTAATTTGTGTGCACCCGCAGTGGTTAAAACGTCGATATCAACATTACAATTTTGGCGTATTATTAAAATAATATTTTTACAGTTTTTTTCATTGCCAATTTTGTTTTTTATTTATATATAAATTTATGTTCTTTTCAAAATTGCAGAAAAAAACCTATAAATAAAAATACTTAAAAATCATTGTCATTTAAAAAATGTTTACTTTGTTTTTGAGTTTCAACTATTCTCACTGTAAAATAAAATCTTAGCTTTTACCATTTAAAAAGTCGTTTAATAGTTCAATATTTTTTAATTTAATATTTATAAAAAGTGTCTTTAAGTGTCTTAAGTGTCTTAAGTGTCTTTAAATTCGTTATATTCCAATCTATTCATCATGTGGTTTTAGATGTTCTGTCAAGCGTAAGAAAAAATATCAAAAAACAACATGGAGCGTCATGAAATTGGCTTTAAAAATAAATTACCCCATATACTATATGGTAGAGAACCCAAAACGTATTCAAATATTAGCCGTCTAAATAAAAACAGCTGGAAATAGCAATTGTTTTAGATTCGCTCACAAAAAATGATGATGAAATATAAAGCCCCTGTGCTGATATAACAATAAATCCGGAGAACAGAGATAGTGTAGAAAAAAAATTCGCAAGGGCAAACAAATTATGCAGTAATGGAGAAAACAAACACAAATAAGTGTGCGTTTTTTGTGTGCCAGGTCGACCGGCAACTGCAATGACCTTGGCAAATGACACCGCTGCATCTGCAACGTGTTCGGCGGCTCTTTGTCTCTTTCTGCCCAACATTTGTTCTCCCTCTCGCTCTTACTCACTTGCAGCGGATGGCGGCGGGCGCCAATCGGTTGCTGATCAACAAACCGCGCTTACAGATCTGCGACATTGTTAAATGCACTAAATAGTTGTACTATCTTTCGCGTTAAATAGCAATTTTGTAATTGCAAAATATCGTTGCCAATCGCAGCTGGCCTCAAGAGAATACTAAAGTACTTTAGTGCGGCATTTGCAAAAACGAGGCTGTGTCGAAAGCAAAAAGCTTTTGCCGGCCTGTTATCGATAATTATCGCGAGGTAAGGAAAAGCTTTCTAGTGCACTCTCTTTAGCTTTTATCTCATCAAATATAGCTACTTAACAAGATATCAAAATACTTATTAGTTATATTATTTCTGAAAAAAATTAAGTTAATATATTTTATTTTTATGTATTTAAACTAAATCCAAAACTTATTTTTTTATAATCTAAGTGTAAGCAAATATATATTTTTAGAGTTTTGCCCATAAGTAGGCAAATATTTTTGTAAGTCTTAGTGATTTTAGGACACATTTTTATTTACGACCACATTCATTTTATAAAGTTCATATTAAATATTAATTACATTATTATTTAAAAGAGTATATATGTTTACCATTATATATTAATAGTTTTAATTTTAAACAATTCTACAAAAATGTATAATATGCCCATAAGTAGGCTATAAAAACTATTCTAGGCCATAAAATAATTCATCTTGGTAATTTTTTTAAAGATACATTTTAGTATAAAATTCAATTTTTATGTCAAACAGGTTAGATATACTTAATATGTTAAAGAATTATTTTAATATTTAGTTTAGCGAAATAATTTTTCAAATTTTTCAAAACCTTGAACGTTTACCTAAAGGCTTAAAATTATGATTAAGGTAGTTTTTTTAAACGTAATAAAAATTCTATAGATTATATATACTTTTCAATCGATAGTTCCTATCAACGCTAGAAATCGGCGGAGAAAGCTTTCACTTCTGAGTCGTCGCGCGCAGCTGTTTTCAGTTCTCGAATACGCTTTGCCTTGGTCTTTGGTGTTCTCCAAGATTTAGTAGATTCGTAGCGCCGTTGGGGTGAAAAAGCAACTAAAGTCGTAAAAAAAACTCATCGTCTGTTATTTACCTTGTAATTCAATTAACTAGCGAAAAATGCTGAGGTACGCGGTAATTGCCTGTGCTATTTTGGTGGCCTTTGCTGGAGCCCTGGAGTTCAGCGATTGCGGATCGAAGACGGGCAAATTCACGAGGGTGGCCATCGAGGGATGTGACACCACCAAGGCGGAATGCATCCTCAAGAGAAACACGACGGTCAGTTTCTCCATCGATTTTGCTTTGGCCGAGGAGGTGAGTGGTTTACAGAAATAGAATGGTTTGAAAGCCCCTTAAAAAATATTATTATATTTAATTTCCTTATTTATAAATGTTGTAAATTTTATCAAATAGGCTTCGGCGGTAAAGACGGTGGTGCATGGCAAAGTCCTGGGCATCGAGATGCCCTTCCCGCTGGCCAATCCAGATGCCTGTGTGGATAGTGGGCTAAAGTGTCCCCTGGAAAAAGGTGAATCCTATCGCTATACGGCCACCCTTCCCGTCCTGAAATCCTATCCCAAGGTCTCGGTTTTGGTCAAATGGGAACTGCAGGATCAGGATGGTGTGGACATCATTTGCGTGGAGATTCCCGCTAAAATTCAGTAGCAAATTCAACGCAAAACCCATCCGCTAATTTAACCTTGAAATTCCCCTCTCTTATTGTTGTAAACTAATTTTTAATAAAGAAAATCTAATTTAAATAACAAGTTTTGGATTATTGATCTAAAATTTAATTATGAATCATTAGCCACGGAATACAAATTTAAAACAAATTATAATTACAATTTTTTTCCTGCTACAAGTTACAAAACTAATTAACTTTTAAGAATTTATGTTTGGTTTTATTTATAAAAGTTGATAATTTATTTATAAAAATTATAAAAGTGCAGAGCTTAAGCATGATTAATCCCATCTGCAATCTCTGAGCGGAAACCTCAAGTTCAGAATTTTCTCTCTTATTGTAATCTAATTTAGAATAATCTTTTGTGTGTGTTTTTGAGTCGCTCTTTTTGTATGCCTTTTTTTTTATTGTTATTTCCTTTTGTTTGCTTTGATTGCATCTTCCGCTTTGACGAAAATGAGAGGAAGACGGAAAAATTAAGAGAAATAAAGCAGAAAACTGTTGCTTTACGATTTATGTTAACTGGCGACTGATGTCTATACATGTATATATATTCAGTAAATTGAAGTCTCACAAAACACAAAAAGTTGACTGACCGTCGATCGTAAAAAGTAATATTATTCTGTTTGCTTTGCTCCTAAGATAAGTTTATATTAGTTAAGTGCACTGGGATAAATAGTATTGTAAATCAATAAACTATTTTTAACCTATAAGTAAAAATAACAATTTAAGACAACATTATGTTAATACTCTCATTACCATACTATTTTGTAAGGTAAAAAATCGTATGGTAAAGAGAGTATTAACAGAGAGTATAATAAAATACTAACATTAAATTGCCTTTTAATTTTAACTTAAAAGAGTAAAAAATAATTTATTTAAAATATTTATTTTATTATTATTTTTTTTTTTGTCAGGCTAATGAGTTTGTATTTATTTACGTTTATTACCATATGAATGAAACGACCTTCGTTGATAAGAAAATATACACATATGAATGCTATTATTTTTTCTGTGTGTAATAAACGCACTCATATTAATGAAATATGCGATTTGATAAGGCGTCTGGGTCACAATTTCTTAGCTTACCACCTGGCATTTTTGCAATCCTGAAACTTGACTCACTTTCTTATCTTTGCGCTTTTTTCCAACTATTTTACATTCATTGTTTCCTCAGCTACTTGGATACTTGTCATTGCGAAGATAATGAGTAAGCTTCTCTATCAGAATTGAAAACAATGCACATCAGTGTTTTGGTTTCAGTTTCGATTACGGTCTAGAGTTCGCAGTCGTATTCGTATTCTCATTGTGTGTTCTCCGTCCTTTCGAACAAAGAATAGCCTGATAAGACGCCAAAAAAGCAACTGAAACATCGCAAAAATAGGAGGAATTGGGTGGATTTTGGGGGGTGGATAGCAGCTGAAACCAAGTAAAAACACAAATCAACTGCAGCCAGAGCTTTCCATTTCGTTTTCTCAATTTCCAGTCCTTTTTCAGCCAAAACACCCACTCACACACATACACACTTAAATTCACAAGCCATATGGCCATATGCAAATACTCGAGGGGGTGGAGAAATGGAGGTGGAGAAAGGGGAGTGGGGGTGGAGAAAGGGGTGGTGCATCAGATAGAATTATCCGCAGTGCGCCAGCACCGGGACATTTAAGCAAAGAAATCGCTTTATTACATTCACTTTGCGCCACGAATCGCTTGAAATGCAATTCCGACTCTGATTCGGTGTCGGATTTGGATTCCTATTCGAGAGTTTATTTTTTGTGGTCTTGAAGATAGTTTGATCCCGGCTTATGTGCATATAAATTTATGGATAACTTAAGGATTGATGATTTCAATGCGTCAGATTTTCGTGTGAGCCAACTACTTTTTTATTAAATTAAAAACAACATTATTATAACACAAGGGGCTTAATAAATTTGGTAAAATTTTGTTTCAAATAAACAAATTGAAATACATATTGAGAGGACTATTCAATGACACTGTATTTAACCTTTGTTAAATTTGTATTAAATAAAAGGCTCCTTAGAAGCCTTACTTTAACATTTAAACTATTTTTATATATATATAAATAGGTCTAATAAATTTTGAAAATTTTATTGTTTTTATATAAAAGTCGGCTCAAAAGTTTAACTTTAACCCTTGAAGTGGTTAAATAAATTACAAAGGTGTTTTTTGGAAAATGTATTTTATTCGACAAATTTCACCTGAGTTAAGCAAATATTTCAGAGTCTTAGCCAATGACATTTCATTTAACCTTCCGGTTAGGGCTTCCGCGATTCAACTCTGCATGGAAAAAACGACCACTCCCTCTGATGTTTTCACTTGATTTACATATGAATCCGCAAAGCACGGCAGTCCGAAACTGCAAAGAAATGTGGGCCAAGCCCCCGGTCCATCCTCTTAACCCACTAACGCCCCCTCCCAGCCCCATCCCAGCCGCCTTAACCCATCTGTAGACACAGCTGACGTTTAAAAACTTGACACAACGCTGCATGCAAAAGTGGGTGGGATGGGTGGTGTGGAGGAGGCAAAAGTGTGGAAAGGGAAGTGGGAAAAATAAAAATGGGAAATGAAAAGAAATGTAGGCGGATGTGTGTACACAAGAAGAATAATATTTCCAAGCAAATATACTACAAATAGACTAGAATAACTTAAATATAAAGTAAATACTTTATATAGAAATTTTTATAATAATAAGCACAGGAGTATATTTTTAAAACTCTTTAAATTTTAACCAAATCTTAGAATTAAAAAATATATCTCTCATTTTTAAGAATGTTTGGGAGTTTAAATGGATAGTAGTAGCTTTTAACAGTATATTTATTTAAATTTTGTACTTTTAGCTATGCAATTTCAAAAATATATTTCACATCTTTAAGAAAGTTTGTCCACTAATATCTAATAAATATCTATGGCACCACTAATTTAAATTTATTTTCTGTGCATTTCCTGTATCTCTGCTTCTGGTTGCATATGATATGAGTTATCCCACCAGGCGCCACCGCCCCCACAATCCACACCCCCTTTTCGTAAGCCACTATGTCTGCACAGAATTTCTTGCATAAATAGCAGCATGTGCGGACGGAGATCTCCCTTTGTCTGTGAAATATAAAAATAAAAACATTTCTGCACTCGGTGCATTTAAAAGTAAAATGCAACTTCCGCCCCCAATCGAATGTTAATGTTATATGAACAATTTTGCCGATGCCATGCGGTTTGCCATTGTAAATAAATTCCGAGTTCTCCGGTTCTGGCCTTGTCATTTTTTGGTCACTGCACAAAACGGGTTTTCTTGTTTGACTCTGCGGCGGCATTAAATTGCGTTAATTACGAGTGTCCACTTTAAAGGAGTGGTCTTATTTTTGTCTACTTCATCTGCCGCTGACAGCCTGCCCAACTTTTATGTTTATTTACATTTTCACTATGTTTTCATATTTTTTGTCTGGTAGTTTTTGTTTTGAAGTGCTTTTTGTGGTCTCTAAACTTTAAAATTCTGTGGGTGAAATGCCTTGATTAATTGTTAAAGTTCGAAATTTTTGATTGCGTGGCATATGTCAGTATTGCAGCATTATGACCATTTTTGTATTTTTACTTTCGTTTTAGGAAGATTGCCTTCTTTTTTTTTGCTTTATCTTCGCTTTGTCATTTTTAAGGGGATTTCTTGATTGTCTTGGCCGAGTTGCTAGCTTAAGACATGTCCAGTTTAAGCTGGTCCAATTAGGTTGATGGAAAAATGGAAAAAGGGCCAGAGTGAGTGGACTAGGGAAAATCTAGGAAAAATCGGACTAAACCAGAATCCTATGCTCCAATACCGTGCCATAACTGTAGAGAAAATATTTACTTTGAAGTGCAGAACATTGTTTATACAAAGTATACATTTTTTTCAAGTAATTTAGATACACTGATAAAAAAATGGAAAAGTAAAAATAAGTATCTGACTATTAAATTTATAATATTATATTTAATATTAAAATTAATTATGAATTTAACATACTATGCGTATTAACATTAAAAATGTTAAATAATTCCTTTTTGATATAAGAGCATTTTAATAAATATGGTTACAATTTAAATTAAACTTTCAGATATCAAAATCAATATTGAAAATACTCGAATTAAAAATTTAAAAAAATGAATGAAAATCGAAGCGAAAAATATTTTAATTGAGTACAAAATGTTGGATTTACTACTTTTTTTTACCAGTGTAAACTCCGTTTATGTACGCTTCCCAAATTATTTCTAAATTAATTATTCTCCAATTTCAGAAAGAATTGATTTTTATTTTTAGCAATAAAATTAATTTAATTATAGTTATATAGTTTATATAGTTAACAACACATTTCTTTATTGTAAAGAAAGAAGGATCAATTTCCTATTTTAACTTTTGTGGAAGCATTTTAACTTTTGAAAGGACTCGACGCACTTATCGTTGTTCTTGATGGAATCGCAGTTGTTCTTAACTTTATCGAGTTTTTCCTTTTCCTTATCCATGGCCTTTAATTTCTCAAAGTAGCAATATACGAAGCACTTGACATTCTGAGTTATTCTTTTTAAGTTGCGTCCCATTAAAATACCAGAGGCTTCCTTCATGGGAATTCTGTGTTCTTTGGCACAATCAATGGCAGCTTTTGGTTCATTGTTTGGATTTGGCAGTGGCGGTGGCGTCTTTAAATATTATGAAATATTAAATTTGATTATCAGCTAGTGTCCTACTTACCATGCAAGTCGTCAGAGCAAAGATGACAATCAGGAATACCGATATAAGCAAGACCTTCATGTCGCAAATGGTGTTTTTTATTTCTACCTAAACTTTATATAGCTTCTTGTTTCGTACATTACTCACGGCGATTAACAATTTTTGCACACCTATTAGGTAAATGATTAAATAACGTAATACAGTTTAAAACTACAGTACAAATTCATTATATTAATAATGTTCTATATATGTATACTTCTTTCATTTTAAAATAAGTTTCAAATTCTCCTTTGCCCAAAAATTACAAATCAATACCGTGTGATTGTGTATTATACCTTATGAAAAATACTTAAATAATAATATAAAAATGTTTTTTTTTCTGTCCTATTACCCATTTCGCAGTTTGCAAAAATTTGTTTAACCAACAAAAATATAATGATTAGATAATAATTTAAATAGTTCGATCAGTATTATTATTATTATATTAAAGTTCCGTGTCCGATATGTAAAATATATGCTTATCAAATGTTATATCCTTTGCGGTTGCCAATCAAAAATGGCACGCATACATTTTTAATGGCTTCCCACCTCCGATCCACATTTTAATCCCCTTGTTACTTTTAACAGTGGCATCTTTTTTGTGCTCCTGTTGCGGTTTTTGCATTTTTAAATAAATCCCATTCGCTGTCAGATGGACCTGCAGTTATCTTAATTATTTGCATGTGGCCGGCATTCGTTGTTAACAGCAGCGAAATACATTGAATGCCATAACTACAAGCAAATGGTCAAAATGTGTAGTGGGTGGATGGGTACTCGCCATGAGCTGTCAATTCTTCAGCGGTTTTTTTTCTTGTCCCGCTGTCATCTGAACTATGGACAAAAAATGGCAACAGGAACAATCTGCAGTCCTGATGTCGACAGTTATGATATGGCGGCAGCGAAAAAAAATTTAAATTGCATTGCATTGCAATTAATCAAATGGCGAAACAGATAGCTTAATTTGTTTACGTTTTTCCCTGAAATGCAACCCGACACAGAAGCCAACTCCATTGTCCGTTGACTGTCCGTCTTTTGTCCGGCGATGTCATTAGCATCCTGATTACCTCTACATTTTTAATGCGCTTTCATTTGCTCGCCCACATGTACAAACTATCCTGGAATGTCCTTCACTTCGATGGCTTCAGTTTGCAGCAATATGCCCGATTAAAAACAAATTAATTTTAAATCAATTACTCGACAAATAAACAAAAGCGAATGTGCCCTCAAGCTTACTTGTTTTTTTTTTAAATTTAATGTAATTTGTCAAGGATCATTTTTGGTTTAAGTTGTTAAAGATACTTAATTGGAAAACAAGTGTCGATTGGTTTATAAGGTGTTGCATTTTGCTTGTGGCAGTCATTGCTGTCATTGTTGCATTATGATTATTATTATGTTCAAAAGGAAAATTTGCAAAAGTACGGCAATTATGGTATCATTGAAAGATTTTAATAGCACATTAAAGAACAACGAAAACATAGAACGTTTTTAAAGATTTAATATATTTAAAGCAATTAAATTATATTTAATTGTTTTTCAGTTAGCATCCAATACTTTTGCAGGGATTTTGTTATTTCCAGAGTATAATTACATTCGAATATCTTTAAGAGTCATTTCCACGAACCCGATTCTCTAAAATAATAGCATTTGTGTTTTATTTTTTTAAAGGTATTTCTCTACATTTAATGCTTTAGAAAGATTTTTTCTGGATTTATCGAATTTCAGCATTTAAAATAGCGAAAATCCCATACAAGAAAAACAAAACCAAAAATACCATTATTTTTGATTTAAAAATGTAATTAAGAACACATTTAATACGTTCATTTTCGGAACTACTTTGTGGAATTAATATTTAATTTTAATACAGCAAAGAAGAAATATATATTGCACTCTACTTTCAGTCCTTTATCATTCACTTTGTTTGAACAGTTGCACGTGAAGGGAAAAGCAGATCTCATTAATATTTCGAATTTGCCGAACATTTTCCGCATTGCATATTTAGTGCAGCGGAAGAGCAAACTAAATTTGAACTTAGTATCAAAATAAAATATTGAATTAAGTGCATACAAATGAGCCGAATGAATTTTTGGGTTTGTGCTCTGATAGCACACGCGGCGAATGCGCAATATTTAGTGCACTTAAAGAGCAACCATTTGCATAATGAGCGAATGATGCAAAACTCGTTGCCATTTGTAAAAACATGAACACAAATAGACATAAAACAAAGTTAAAATTGGTAGTGGGATGTGTGGTATTTCTGCCCGAAGAGTTGTTCAATTAATATGCTTTGGTCCATGCGGCGTATGCGTAATGCCAAAATGCCAAATAAGGTAAAATGAATAGAGCACAATGGTTTTAGTAAATAGGCGCATAATGCTTTGCCGTTTTCAATGTTTATTTGTGGCTGCGAAATGGAGTTTTCGGTTGGTATTAATTCCGTGGGTCAGTTATTGGCAGCGAAAACCAATTTTAAATGTGCTCTAAAGTATGGTAAGTATGGTAGGCCAGGAATGTAAAAATATATTATTTTTAAAGCTTTTACTCATTTGTCTAGACAGACAAAGCTGTGGAAGACATCCAGACTCACTGACATATGCAAGTTTTCCTTAAATCCAACTCTTTAAACTTAACCCCCTGTTGCCCACCGCATATGCATACTATATATGAGAATTGAAGCGTCCTCCCATATAAATCACATAAATATTCACATCTATTTTCATTTCCAACACTTTCCCCCCATTTTTGTTTCATTTCGTTTTCATGTTACCAAAAGAGTCCTAGATTTACATATTCATTTTGCTCCACATTTCATTCTTTCTGTGCTCTCTGTTTTTTTTTTTTTTTTTGCGGAAAACGCGAGTGGTGGCACTTAAAAAGTCGTTACAAGGTGCAAAAGTTTTCTATGTCAAAATATACGGCCGGTAGCAGCAGAGACAATGACACTGAAGTGTTGGAAATAGTACTGGAAAATGGGGTTTCATAGTTGGCTGCCATATGTCGATGGTTTCGCGTTGAAAAAAAAATGGATGAAGGACATTTCTGACCCATTTAGGATTTCACAGGAAAGGAGATTTTCTGTCATCAATTTGAGTGATTTTGGGGAAAGGAAAAACAAACTGAAAACAAAAATGCCCATTTAATTGCCCAAAACGGGGAAAAAAGGGCAGACAAAGTTTAGAGCTTTCCCGAATTTTTCCTTTTTGCCAAACACTGAGGGCAAAGTTTAGACCGAAAAATTTCATAACTTTTCAATGTGGCTAATATTAAGTTACCTCAGCAAAGATTTAACTTCAATCATCTCACACACGAACAAAAATGGGCGAAAAGTCCTAGCAATCAATTTCAAATTTATCTCGGTCTCATTTGCCAGGGCATAAATTACTTATGAGCCATTCATTTATTACACCTATCGGCAAACTGCACAAAATTGACAGCTTAATGATTTGTTCATAACTTTGCCAATGGGTCTTTATTTATGCGAAACTTTCGACGTACTCGTACGTAACGTAGAGGCTGCAAATGGTAATTAGAAAACTTGGGCTCATGTGTGTGTTTTACTAAGCTCTCGAGGGATTAAGTCAAGCCGGAAAGTTTCTCGGACAAATGATACGGGAGCTTGGCTGTGATTGTATTACAGAAAATGGTAATCGTAAAGATGGTTATACATAAGTACTATACTACTATTGGGGTTAAATAAATAGTACGTTTTCAAGGTAGTTTGATTTAAACGATTTTGTCTTATTTTTTAGATGCTTTTAAATGCCATTTTATCATGCGATTTAAAAACCACTTATGGAGATGCCAAAAATAATTTTACATATTAATATTTGTTATAAAGTAACATATTGTCATAAGGAATTCCTTTAATTTCAATACAATGATAGAAAAAAAGTTATTTAATTATTTAAGGCTGTAAAAGTTCTTAATAATATTACTATATACTACACTTTAATATTCTACTGAGTAATGTGTCTGTTGGCTAAAATGTTTAAGTCATATTTGCCTGTTTTAATTCACAACCAACAAGTTATATTCTATCCTATTCCGTCTGTGACAAATAGATTTATGGCAAATTTGCCCTCAAAGCTGTCTTTGCTTTGAACATAGTTTCGCAATTTTCATCTCAATTATCTAAATATAATTTCAGAGTTTCGCAATCAATTCTGACAATTTGAGCATAAATATTGAATAAGGCGGCTTTCACACTTTCATTGCATTTCTAGAAGCAACATCAATTTGCTATTTCGTCAATTAAATATGCTGACAGACTTCAATTATTTATAAAGAACAAACCCAAAAGAGCGGCTAAAAGAGGTAATATCTTCGGGTATATTTATTTAAATACCTGTATATGTATATGTATACATATATATGTTAAATCTGAGTTTCTTTATGTATGGGTGAAAATTACTTTTCGGAAAATTATCATACACATTGGCTGATGTGCCACATGCCACACAAACAGTCTTATATGGAAAATTCAATTTGATGTTGCTGCTGTTTCTGCTGCTGTCGATGTCACTCGCCCAACTCATTAAGTATTAATTGTAAATTTTAATTAAAATAAACCGAAACGATTACGGACACAACGGTGGAAAGGAGACGTGGCGAGATTGACCGGCAAACTCTCCTGCTTTCCTTGCTTCTGATGGCCAGGTAATAATGTTTACCGATTTTATACCACCCACTGAATGTGCATGTGCATTACCCATATATGTGCATGAAAAATCCCATTAATTGCCCAGCAAAAGACGCGTCTGGAGGAGTAAAAAACAATAATAAATAATGAAAGATTGCAAGTGCAACTGGGAATGGCAACTGCAACTTCTGGCCGACTTTGATCAGTTGGTTAACTTATGACTTAAAGTGGGCGTGGCCGAGATATGGGCCACGTTTGAATATCGACCATTAAGTGATTGTTGCGGCGAGCCGATTAATTTCATGTGTTGCATCAAGACACACAATGCAGGCTTAAATTTTGTTGATTGCTCTTCAGCACATTAAAGGAATTAGTATTTTATGGGACTTAACATTTTAAGTCATTATATATTTATGTACAAAGAAGCTTAAAGTTTAGAAAATAAATTTTCTGTTTTTTGTGAACTTATGCAATTTTAATGTACAAAGTTAAGGAAGTTTTAAATTTAAAAATAAAATTTGAGCTAAAAACTTTTTTGTTTTATGTTAAATGAATTTTGTGGCATTATCCTAAATTAAATAAATAGATACATGAATAAGCTAATTTATCAAAACGACTTATGTCTTAGGCAAAAATTATAGAAGCTTAAAGTTTGCATAGAAAATTGCGATTTTAATCCTTTTTTTTTATTGTGATGTGTTATGTTTTTATGAATGTTAAATGCTTTCTCTAACATAAATTAAATTAAAACCTTGAAATAAATCCAAATATATATATCATTTATATATATTTAAAGATATTACCATAATATGCTTTATTATTTTTTTTTTTTAAACCTGTCTTAGGACTCTTTAAAATGGAAACTCCTTTTCACATTTCCTCTTGATAAAATCCAGAAATGCAGCCTTTCATCATTCTTTTGGTTGTGTTTGAAAAATGGCCAATAAATCGTGCCTTTATAATCTACAACCGTGCACACGTGGGCGTGGCACATTCACACAATGAATTGCCCGGCAAACACAAGCGAAATGAAGTGTATTTATTTGTGTGCCATAATTTGCTTATTTTTGTTTCACGTTGTCACGTCTGCGGGCATATTCTCACTGACCCGTAACAATTTTCTTTCTTTTTATTTTTTTGTTTGGTGCGCACGCAGAAATAAAGGTTAAATAAAATACAATAAGTTATTACGGCCGATTGCGTTAATGATCATTTATAGCTGAGGCGAATTTGTGGGCTTATGTAAATGGCACTTGGATCCTGACTGTCATGCCACCCATTTTTTCATACGCCAGAACTTTACGAAGGATGCACAGGACCAGAGTGTACGGGAAGGCGAGAGATTTATGCTAAAGTGATGTAAATGTTTTGCCATTTGACAGTTTATTGACTTTTATGAGTTAGTTTATTATGTTCTTTTTATATAGCCCGAAAGGGGGGTAAACGGTTAAGGGAATGGCTGCCAAGTATCCTTGTAATTGGGCGCGTGTTCGGCATAAGCAATGAACTTGCCATTATTTCCAAGGCTTTGCAAGGCAAGGACAGCCTCCGGA